TATTGTTTAGACAAGATACCAAACTTATTTCTTGTACTCTAACTATTATGAAGATAACAATATTCAATGTATCTACTATTATAACTGTCCTACTGACCTGTCTTGAAATTCAATATCATTGTTTGTCCTTTTTCTCTTGAAAAGGAAAGGAAAGGGAAGGAACGGAAAAAAAATGAAAAGAGAAAAGAAAAGAAAAGAAAAGAAAAGAAAAGAAAAGAAAAGAAAAGAAAAGAGACTCCATAAAAATAACCCAACAGGCTGGTGCAAGCCCTGCAGAGCTCTCTACATGCATGTAGACGTGTATTTCAGGCTATGTTATTCATTACATAAGCTTTGCTTTTTGAAATGTATCATCAGTGCTGCACATTGATGTACAGCTTAATTCCTTTTAACTTAGCAGTTATTAATGTTCTCTCCAGGTCAGCCTGTGAATACTTTCTTCACTCTTGATATTTTTCATGACACCTTTCAGAGAATCAAGACCCACTTTTTCCACTACTGATATTTGAGTTTCCCTCAATTTTCTTTGTCACTGCTGAAGATGCTGTAATACATGTAGCCGCCAGGCACTGACATTTATATGGCTGTGTTTAGGATTTCTAAAGGAGAGGCTCTGAGTTACATGGTTTGGAATGAGTGTGAATAAAGGGAGATTGAATAAAAGGTACCAAAATATAGTGAGATTAAAAGAATAATCTCTCATGTTCTGTAGCACAGGAGGTGACAATGGCTTACAATAACCAACTGCAAATTTTATGAAGAGCCAAAAAGGAGAGCTTGGAGCTAGAAATAAAGAAATGATTGGAAGAGGGGAATGTGAATGCCCTTATGTGATCAGTGCGTGCTGTCATGCGGGTGTTGCAATGTCACGCTCTACTCCATTAACACACGCAATGAGTGCATACTAAGCAAACATGACAGAAGGCGTGCAGATGTACCCTTTAGAGGTAACACCCAGAGCTCTACCCAGAAATGAAGCCGACAGAGCTACCAGTAGGAGATGGGTGAGCACAGCGAAAGAAGAAGCTCACCAAGAACAAGAATCCTCAATGTATCTCCTGCAATGAGACAATGTACTGACATTTAACTTTATCTCATTTACTTAATTAATACAATTTGGAGCATTTCTCTACATATTCCCAACAGTTCTACTTCATTCCTTGCACATTTGCCTGTCCTATATCTTACTGTGGTTTCAGGCCACTTTCTGTAATGTAAGGCCATTATCACACTGGTGATGCACAAACACAAACACTGTTATCATTTTGTCATTTTACTTTTGACATTATTCATAGGGCTTTGGCCTTTTTATATAATTTTAGCTTTTCAAATCTAGAGAAAAAATATTCACACACCTAAGACAGTACAAATATTCACCTAAGCATTCTTCTACTGAATTCCTATGTATGAACTTTCAATGAGTGTCTGAATTATTTTGGAACACACAATGGTCACGGAGAACAAGACAGAGCAGACCAGTATTGAGGCTCTTATGTACTTCCCTGTTATTCTGAGAACAGGCAGCACCACGACTCCTATGACAGCGTTGATCAGTCCATGTCCCTTTGACTGCACGTGGTGCCCCAGCGGCGGGACCACCGAGTAGCGATTGCCTCACCCACCTATCAGAGAGCGATGCCCTTTCACCTTCCTCTTGAATGCCTCCTTCACCTCTTTGTTCCTCAAGCTGTAGATGAGGGGATTCAACCCAGGGATGACCATGGTATAGAACACAGAAATCACTTTGTTGACGCCCAGAGATGAGCTCGAGCTAGGTCGGATATAGATGAAGAAAAGAGTCCCGAACAAGACGGAGACTGCAGTCAGGTGAGAGGTGCACGTGGAGAAGGCTTTCTGCCTCCCGTGGGCAGTCTGGATCCTCAGGATGGCCGCTGCGATGCACACGTAGGACACTGTGATGATCACACAACTGAGCATTCCCAGAACTCCAGCCAAGGCAAAAAGCACCAGCTTATTTTTCGCAGTGTTAGCACATGCCAAGGTAAGCAAAGGGTAAATGTCACAGAAAAAGTCATTGATTATGTTTGGACCACAGAAGGGTAAGGAAAAAGTCAAAATGGTATGGGTCATGGCGCTAATGAGACCTACGGCATAAGGCCCTATGACCAGCTGCACACAGACCCGTTGGGACATGATGACTGTATACAGCAAGGGCTTACACACGGCTGTGTACCGATCATAGGCCATGGCCGACAGCAGGAAGCACTCCGCTGCCACAAAGACAGCACAGAACCACATCTGAGCAGCACAGCCCACAAAAGAGATGCTTTTCTTCTCTGCAAATGTATCACGCAGGGTCTTCGGGGTGACAGAAGAAGAGAAGCAGAAGTCTACAAAGGACAAGTGGCTAAGAAAAAAGTACATAGGAGTGTGGAGTCTGGGGTCGAGCCGTATGAGTGTGATCATCCCCAAGTTGCCTCCCATCGTGAGGAGATAAACAAGGAGAAGCACTAAGAAAAGGGCGATCTTCAGCTGGAGATGACCCGTGAGGCCTAAGAAAAGAAACTCCGTGACTGCTGTCCGGTTCTTCCCTTCCATAGTGGTCACTTGGAATCTGTCATTTAAAAAAAAATTTACTTCCTTATAAACAATGTAACCATTAACACATATTGTATTTAGCCAATGACTAATGTCTTCAACTAGTGTATGAAAGATGCTAGCGAGATGTTGCTGAGATAGAATTCCAGGCTGCTACATCCGGGCCATTATGCAAAGGTGCTGTGTGAGCCTAGGTAACTTAGCCTCCATCCCTAGGGTTCTGCACCTACCCCTACCAAGAGTTGGTCCAAACTAAATTATCATAAAATTATATTTCCAAAGTCAGTTAGTCTTAGTATTTCATTTTATTGTATGATGGGATAATGAAAGCTGCTTTGGAATAAACGGAGTGAACATGCTGTAAAAAATAATGGAATGATCCTACATTGTTATCAAGGAAATACTAACAAAGCTATTACTTGTTTTACTGAATCACCAGTAAGAGTATATTATTAAGACATAACCCATGTACGTGTATATTGCTATTTAACTTTATAAAGGGATGTGGAAAGACAAAATGCACATATGACAAAAGGTTTCTCATTCTGAAGATTAGTGGACATAAATGACAGCTGTTGATAGTAATAAAGACCTGTCCTTAAAGAGAAAAAACAAGATATACACTATGATAGATGTGAAGTAAAAGAGGTATCAAGAAGACAATGGAAGATAAGAAGAATGAGTAGAAAGGCTTCTCCTAGCTGCATAAATTCAATTTCTAAAAATGCAACACATGGGAGGACGTGAGATGCCTGCCTTGGAACTCATGTGGTCTGCCCAACTTATCTGTAAGCAGTCATGGAAATTGGACAGAGAATTGAGAAGTAGTGGGACTAAGATAACGTGGAATTATTGCATAAGAATGTGCAGGTTTGGGGGGCCAGGGAGATGGCTCAGTGGAATAGCGCTTCCCTGGCAAGCACAAGGGCCTGAGTTCAATCCCTGGTTCTGCAACAACATCAAAAAAAAAAAAAGAAGAGCAGGTTGTTCGTAAACTTTTGGGGGAGTTTTATTCTGAAATCTATACTACTAATGCGTATAGGAAAAGTCAAAGGTTTATTTTATGCAAGAAAGACCCTCAGGAAAATATTTTCAAGTGACTAATGAGTCAAAAAAGAATAAATAAAGCCATTGAAAAGTCCTAGGAGGAGGTGATTCTTTAAGACAATTGATATGAAGAAGGATGGCTTATACAGTATATTGAATCAATATTCTGGAAGTGAGGCTAGTGAAGAAATAGAGTGAATACTTTGTTGCTTCAATATATAATATTCTTAAAAATTCATAAATCCTAACTCCATCTACTTTGTTCATGATTATGTCATATTGTCATTATAATGATTATTCACTTATCATATAGACTCTATTTTTCGCAGTCTAAGACACACATTGTCTAAGATTTTCATAGAAACATTATCCATTGCAGGAACGTTTTCTTTACAATCATCAAAATGTGCCCCGTAGGTGATTGGAGGTGAGATGCAGTACCGCATGCATTCAGAGTTAGTGCGGTGACTTTTATTTATTGATTAATTACTTTATGTATCTTAATGTAAGGCATATTTAGTCTTACATAAAGTGAAAAATATTTTATGCCTTTTCCATACCAGCGGCTTTGTGCTTAGAATTCTTCGTGAACATCATTTGTCTTTGTTTTAAGGAATGTTTCATTTTTAATTGATGAAAATTGCATGGATTTTTCCATATATGATGTGATATTTCAAAACACATGTACATTGTGTAATGTCTAACATAACTTACTTCATACACTTGTTTTTTTTGTGGTCACCACACCAAAAGTCAGCAATGTTCAAGATTGCAATTCATATCATTAATTACATTCATTAATTCAATGAATAGAGAGGCTTGCTCTAATGGTGTTTGAGACATGATATCATGTCTGCATCTTGTACAACGAATAACCACTAAGACAACAATATGCAATGTATTAATTATTGAAGATGTGCTAGTAATCGGTTGTAAAACTGTCTCATTGCTATTTGTTTCTCAATAAAAATATTTTAAAAAAGAAACCACAGACTATTCATTTCTGGAAAAAAATAAATCTTTCAGGCCATTTCCTTGGTCTGACGAGGATGCAAACACAATGACAATACTTGCTCTTTCTAGGGGTGGGAGGTCATGATCCCAGTGTTCACAGTAATCCTGATGTTTCTCTACCAGATTTCAAAATCTTCACCTTGTTCACAACAGCATACTCGCTTCCGCTTTGCAAAGGAGGTCCTTGTACCCCTTCTTTCACCCCAGCAAACAAGTCATCACTTTCTAGAAGGAAGGATGGAAGCCCCAGCTCTCTTCATGGTGATGGTTGCTCAAGAGACATGACTCTTCAGGCGCAGGTGAAGAAGACAACGCCCAGTGCTGACAGGCCTTGGTTCAAAAGCACTGTCCTTGACACTGCATAAAGAAGGGACATTTTCCTGAGA